CTTTGGCCACCAGGACAGTGGTGTCTCCCTGGTCCCTGAGAATGGTCAGTAAAAGGTGCAGCCCAGATGAGGGCCTCAGCAAAGTGGCCACTCCTGTCCCATCATGCATGGACACAGTGAGGGACAGGAGGCTTGGGCATAGACAGGACTCTTGGGAGTCACCTCGGCATGGAGAGAAGAAGTGAGACTCCAGGCTGTCAGGAAGCTGAGAAAAAAAGCAGCTGGGCTAAAAATAGGAGCACTGAACAAGTGTCCAGAAATGCCATCCGCGGTGCCAGTTTGACTTCATTATCTTTACTTACTTAAACGGCATTACGTGGGAGAAAACCTGGGAGGGCAAGCTGTTTCTGTCCACGCACAGAGTGGGTTTTCTGTGGAAAGGACACGCAGAACAGCAACAGCTGACAGTGAACTGATTGCGTGGTAAAGACCCAGTGAGATTGAGGGCAGAAGGGCTGAGCCCGGGCAAGTGAGGCGCAGTGTGGGGTTTTACCTAGCGAGGTCTGGGAGGACCGTCCCTCAGACAGTTCTAAGGTGCGATTGCTGGGCCAGAGGACACAACACATAGGAAGAGACTCCCCTGCCGGCCAGGCAGGCTGGGGTGCCTCTCCACCCTTGACTCTACCCAACCTCCAAGTTTTTTGCTAATTTGGTAGGAAAAAGGTGTTTGTATGGCATTTCTTTATTTTCAGGAAGCAGATTCTTTCCTCACATAATTATAATTTCTTTTCTTTTTCTCTATGTAGACTGTTTGCTCTCCTAGGAATATTAATTATGGAAGCATAGTTAAATGAATGCAAAAAAAAATGCACATCAGGAAATAGCAGAGCCGGAGATCTGGGTTCTGTCTGCTTTGACTGGCCCAGTGCTGCCTATAGAGACACTCCCAGACACCTGGTGAATGAATGCAGAGCAAAGTGTGAGGTGACACAGTAAGAGACACACTGTTACTTCAGGGATAATTGAAAACTAACTTTAAAGTCAGTTGGAGGACTGAGGTGTGGCCCAAGTGATGGAGTGCCTGCTGAGCAAGCCAAAGGAAAAACAAAAATCAGGCTCCACAAGGCACAGGTGGCTCATGCCTGTAATCCCAGCCACTCTGGAGGGAGGATCAGGAGGATTGCAGTTCAAGCCAGCCTGGGCTAATAGTTTGGGCAAATAGACCCTACCTCGGAAAAAACCATCACAAAAAAGGAGTGGTGGAGTGGTTCAGGTGGTAGAGCACTTGCCTAGCAAACATGAGGCTCTGAGTTCAAGCCCCAGTGCTGCAAATAAAATAAAAATAAATAAAGTCAGTTGGCTTGGGCTGGGGCATGGCTAAACCAGTAGAGCACCTGCGTAGCAAGTGCAAGGCCCTGAGTTCAATCCCTAGTACAGCCCAAAAAAAAGGCATTTTTTTTAACCATAAACTTAATTTGGAGGTAATGCAGATCCACATGTAGCTGTAAGAGAGAAATGGTGTCCCTTTTACCCAGGGGCACCATCTTGCCAAACTGCAACACAATGTCACAACCGGTGTGTTAGTCAGCTTTGTTGCTGTGACAAACATCCGAGGAAAACAACTTAAAGGAAGAAAGGTTATTTCAGCTCATGGTATCAGAGGTTTCGGTTCATGGTTGGATGGGTCCATTGCTTTGGGCCTGAGGTAAGACAGGGTATCCTGGCAGGGAGAATATGTGGCAGAGGAGGCTGCCCACCTCATGGTGCTCGGGAAGGGGGAGGGGGACACCCGGAGACAAGGTGTATCTTTCCAGGGTCCTCATGATCCAAGTACCTCTCCCATCCAAGTACCAACCAGGCCTGACCCTGCTTAGCTTCCAAGACCAGACAAGATCAGGAGCGGCTGGGGTGGTATGGCCATAGACAATGATCCAAGTACCTCTCAACAGTGCCACCCGCTGGGGACCAAGCCTTCAACACATGAGCCTTTTGCAGTCAAATGCTGTACCCCGAGCTACACTCCAACATGAGCCTTTTGGAGGAGACATATCACATCACCAGGTATTGACACAGATACAGTGGAGATGCAGACCACCCTTTCCCCATGAGGACCCTCTGCACAGCCCTTTCAAGCCCCCCACTTCCCTCCGTACTCCACACCTCCCATAACCCCTGGCAACCACTGGTCTCTTCTCCAGTTCAATGATCTTGTTATTTCAAGAATGTTCTGTGAGTATAGTGTGTTTGGGGACTGGATTTTGTTTGTTCAGCATTATCGCTGGAGATTCATCCAGACTATTGTATACGCATAAATAGTTCATCCCTTTTGTGTGCTGAGTAGTGTGGGTACAAATGGAGCAGGTTTTTTTCTTTTCTTTTCTTTTTGGCAGTCCTGGGGTTTCAACTCAGGGCCTTGCACTTTGAAGGTAGGTGCTCTACTGCTTGAGCCACATCTCCAGCCCTGGAACACAGTTTGTTTAACCATTCACTGACTGAAGAATACCTACGTTGTGTCCACTTTGGGCTTATTATGAATAAGCCTGCTGTGAATATTCACTGGCCTTTCATTCTTTTTGCCCAGTCTCGGTGGAGAGGAATTGAGAAGAGCCTGTTGGTCCTGCCCTTCAACAAAGCAGACACAATATCCCAATATGTAATTCAGCAGGCTCTTTACAGCCTGGAAGCCAGGAAAGACCACCTGAGTTCAAGGTCCAGCAACTCTACAAGCAAAAAAAAACAGAGCAAAATGCTGTCTCAGGAAAAAAGGGTCTGAAAAAATAATGGACATTGGTTAGTGAGAACAGCATTGTTTTCCACCACTATTTGAAGGGATTGCTAGACCAGTATTCATGCTGAATCCAAGGGTTTTCAAAAATTCCCGTAAGAAAATAATCTCTAGTAGGTCTGTTTAGGGGAAGACAGTCCACTTCCTGCCCTGGAGTGGAGCCAGAGTGCTCCCAGGACAATGAGCGCCGCCCCCCCCTCACCCTCCACCACCTCTCTCTGTCCATGGTGCTGCCCTTTGCAGTCAAGACAGTGGCCACATGGTCACAAAGGCCAGTTCCCCAGGTGTTTTCTGTTTCTCACTCAGCTGTGAGTACAGATCAAATACAAGGAGAGGCCATGGTCTAGAGTTGTCACATAGTGTTCTCAGTGTTTTAAATTAGTTTATTTGCAGTACAAATAATAAAAATTTATTTATTTGAATTCAGGGTCTTGTGCTTATTAGGCAGGTGCTCTATGACTTGAGCCACTCCACCAGCCCCCAATCAAATATTTTCTATTACCTTATTTCCTGTATTTGTTTTTTAAGCAAATCTCTTTCATAATTTTACATAGTGGTTTTGCTCTAGGGCTGACCTTGAACCCTGATACCCCAGATCTCAGTCTCCCAAGTAGCTAGGATTATAGACGTGAATCACTGGTGCCCAGTCTGATTTTTTTTTTTCTTTAATACTTTCTACTACTCGACTGTGAGCTCCTATGTCTTCCTATGGTCATTTAATCCTTGGGATGTATTTGTTACAGATGCTTTAGAGTCTTTGCAAATACAACAGGCCATCGGTAGGTGCTTTCCATTGGCTGCCTTTTGTCTTGGCTGTGGCTTACATTTTCATGTTTTTTCTTTTTTTTTCCTAGCATGTTGAGTATGTTAGACATTGATAAGTAACGAATTGTAAAGACTGGATTATCTTCCCTCAAGTGTTCTAGTCCCAGCTTAGTCTTTCTCCCTCTGGGCTCAGGTAGATTTAATTTTATGCCTCCTTAGAGCTGAGAAATGTCTAAGGTGCTTCCCAAGCCCCTCTAACTTAGCAGTATCAAAAGCCAAATTTCTCTTGACTGGATCATGTCAAGGCCTTGGTTTAGGCTTTGTGAGGCAGGTATTCAATAGGCTTTATTTCAGGGGTCACAATCTAGGGGTCACAGGCCACATCTGGCCATTGGCCTGTTTCTGTATAGTCCTTAAGCTAAGACAGTGTTTATATTGTTACAGAGTTTAAGAGAAAGAAGGGAGGAGTGTGAAACTATACTATAGTGGCATGCAAAATCTAAAATACTTCTGTCACTTTACAGATGGAGTTTGCTAGCCCTGCGGGCAGGATCTAGTGGCTCAGCTGGATGTTCTGATGGAATGAGAAAGGTCTTTCTGCATTGCTCGACTGTAGTTTTTCTATAACTCTGGCACGCCCCATGGAGTCTCATCCTATACACTAAGTCAGAGGGCCCAGGTCCGGGCATTTCAGGGAACCCCTGCAGAGAGACTTCTGACCTCCCCACTCAGCTCTTTGCTCTCCAGGCTCTGCCGGTGGCTTCTGCCTGCTTCAACTGCCCCATAGCCTGGTCCTTGCCTCCCACAGCAACACCACCAGCCGCCCAGCAGCCGTGTTCACTCAGACTATTCCCCTAGTACGCTCATTTCATTTGCAGAAGTTACTCCAAACCTGCTTTGCTTGCACCAGATCTTAAAAGGAAGGTTTTTATCTTGTGGCATTCCCTACACGTGCACCGCGGCCTGCTCCTAGCAAAGCTGTGGGTGTCGGGGTTCTGGCGGTGAGTGGGGGCACGGTCCCCACATTCAGGCAGCTCGGAGGGGGCGGTGCACGCTCAGCAACATCTGCAAGGCCTGAATTTCATCCTGCTTTGTGGCAGCAGCGTTGCTTTGTAAGCCCGTGTAACAAGCAAGCCCGGTCCCAGCTTGGCACCGCGCAGATGCCCTCGCCCAGCGGTGGAAACTGACCCAGGGGTGTGTGATGGATCCCGGGGCATCCTACGTAAGGTGCCGATGAGGACGCGCGGCCACAGGCAGTGGGAATCCGACGACAGGCGCCCAGGGCGGAGGCACCAGGCAGGGACGGGCGAGCAGGGACGCCTCCCGGAGTCCCTCGTAGGCGCCCGCGGTCAGCCCGAGGCCAGCGACGCGGCGGCGCGCCCTCCGCGCCCTCCGCGCCCCGCGCGCCCCGCGCGCCCGCCCCTTTTCCGCCGGAGGGCCGGCGGCGCGAAGACACGCCCATTTCAACTGCGCGCACCGGAAGTGGTCATGCGGCGGCGCCGAGGCCGGAAGTGGACGAGGCCGGCGAAAGCGGGCGGCGCGGCGGGCGGCCGGCTCCAGAGCTGCCTGGGGGCCGCCGGCGCGGCTCAGGCGCGGGCTCGGCTGGCCCGGCGCGGCCTCGGGTGCCCATGGGGCGCGGGGGGCCGGGCCGGTGACGCCGGATGCCCATGGACGCCCCTGAGGACCCGCTGCCTCCGGTGATCTACACCATGGAGAACAAGCCCATCGTCACCTGTGAGTGCTGGGTGCGGGCAGGGGGCGCGGCCGTGCGGGCCCGGTTACGCCCCTGACCCCCCGACCCTCACGGGCCGGCTCCGCCGCGCGCTCGCGGCCTTGCGGTTCCTGGAGGTGTGGCCGGCTGTCAGCTGCAGCGACCTCGCCTGGGGTGACCTCCGACCCTTGGGTTCAGCTTGTGGACGCTCCGGGTGCGGTTGCCCGGCGACTCCGCCCGGGACAGGCGCAGCCAGAAGGCGGGCGAGGAGCGCGGCCGCGCTGTCCCGCGCTGTCCCGCGCTGTCCCGCCCTGTGCGCGCTCCGGGCCGCCCGGCCAAGCTGCTGGGCCGGGACGAGCCGGCCTCCCGCGGGCCCGCTCTGCTCGCGCTGACCGCCACGGTCCTCGCTGCGACCCGCAGCCCCCAGGGCATATTCCGGAGAGGCCCAGGCTCGGCGGTCAGGGCAAAGTCCTCGCTCTGGACAGCTGGTCTGCGCCTTTCGACATGTCGGTTCCCTCCCCACATTGAATGCTCGCACAAAGGACTGGTTTTCTGCTGCAGAAGAAACTCCTCTAATTTTTAAGTGTTTAACTTTAGAATTAAATGCTTTCTTCTCCTGGCGGCACTGAACTCACAGCCTTACTTGCTAGGCAGCTGCTTCACCACTTGAGCCACTCTCCCAGCCCTTTTTTTTTTGGTGTTGAGTTTTTTGTTTTGTTTTGTTTTTAGAAATAGGATTTTGTAAGCTATTTGACCGGGCTGGCTTCGAACCGCCATCCTCCTGATCTCTGCCTCCTGAGTAGCTGGGACTACGGTGTGAGCCGCTGGCGCTCAGCTAGAATGAAATACTTTTAAAAACAATTCAGTTATAAGAAATGCTGAAATGTTGGCTGGCGTTTTGATGACTTGCAGAACCATCTTTCAGAATATACATATTAGCATTTTTGACTGTTGTGGTGTTCATGGCTTTGTGCAGTTTTTCTAAATTGTCTCCCACGATTTGAAAGGAAGCACTCTTTTTACTGTAAAACTTGGTGCCTGGGTGGAAGCAGGCTGTTCTGTAGGTCTCCAGTGCTCCCCATGCTCTTTTCCTGTCTCTCTTCCTCCTTTCTTTCCCTCTCAGGGGATGAACTGGCATTCTCCTTGTGAGCTCCCTCTTGTGTATTTGAGTTTGTCTCTTCATCTTTAGATGATAGACTTTCTTAGGTTTACTTTGTCTCACTTAAAGTTGAAAGACTTGCATAGTTCCAGCAGTAGCTGTTTTTTTGGTTTTTTTTTTTCCCTTCCCAGAATGTCACCTGAGTCTTGCCAGAATGTGTATCTGCAGGCAGAATGGACAGATGTGGCAGAGCTGGTCTGGAGGCCCTGCCACACCCAGATGCTTCCTGATTTCCTTAGGGAAGATTAAGCTGCACTCTGTTCACGTTTGGATTCAGTGTCTTCCAAGTCAGGCGACGTGTTCTGTGGAAGTGCTGTGCACAGAATGAGTGCTGAGGGAATAGTGTTTATGGGGGCATGCATGTATCTGACTGTATTTCCTACCTGTGACACTAATACTGTCCGTGGGCAATTTGGAAATACCCTTCTGAAGATGAAGCTCCTAAGTTCTATGGGTTCAGCAGTGGCTAATGGGGTGGACTTTGCTGTCCTGGTTAGTCAGTGTTTGAGACGTTTTGTGTTTTATACATGCACACATGACAGCTACAGAGAGCAGTGTCCCTCCTGCAGGCTACTGGGGTATCATATGTGGGGGTTTTCCCAGTATTTGAGGTATCAGGATGAGAAGGTGCTGTGCTGATGGTGTCACTGTCTTGGAAGGTACAACCTTTCATTTGTTGGCATCTCAGAAGAGAAAGAGGCTTCAGTAAGCATTCCAAGACAGTTACTGGGAAAACCAGCAGAGATTCCTTTAAACATTTGAAAGTTATGACTTCATGGTTCACATTTGAGATTATATTTTCCCATATCTGGGCCTGCAACTTTGGTAAGCGTTCCTCCTGGTTTTGCTTCATTCCTTTATCTTGTTCCGTAGTTCAGCTGTGCGTGTTTTGAAGCAGCACAAAGATTGTAGGGAAATGCTTGAAAAAAAATTCACCCGGAGGCCAGTTTACTGCTCACAACTTTTCAGCATTGTGTACAGAATTCTCTTAGTATGCAGCACCTGTATTTTAAACAGTCTTTTCCATCTTGTTTGTAATGTTCTTCCTTCAGATCTTGAACGCTTACCTAACCACTAAACTCTTTTGAGGTCTGTGCTCATTTAAAGTTGAAAGTAGAGTTTATGATTGTTCTGGTTTTGCCCCCTATAGAATTAGAGAATGTTTTACTTCAGAGAAAATGAATTGTGCTTAGACCTTTTTGAGAAATATGTGGGATGTAATTGGTTCAGGTAAATTTAGGAATGTATGGGACTAACACTGGTAAATATGTGGGCATGAAAATAATGAAAGGTTCCTAGAGGTCAAGGGTCAATAGGATAGATAATTACCTGAAAACTTGGCTGGATTATTTTAATACTAACTATCTTGAAGCTACCTAAAAGTTTTCATAGATCTTAACTCATAATTTTTTTGGGGGGAGGAGTGAGACTGGGGTTTTAATTCAAGGCTTTGCATTTGCAAAGCAGGTGCTCTATTGCTTGAGGCACACCTCTGGTACATTTTGCTCTGATTATTTTGGAAATGGGGTCTCACAAAACTACCTGGATTGGCCTCGAGCCACGATCCTCCTGATTTCAGCCTCCCAAGTAGCTGGGATTACAGGCCTGAGCCACTTTGAATCCCTCTGTAGGGGGTCTGTTTAAACCAAGACTTGTAAGTGCTGAAGAGTAACTGTAGTGTACTTGCCTGCTGACTGAACTGCAGTGGGGTTGGGGGATGAATCACCCAATCAGAAATTTGAATACTTTCTGTATAATTTATTAATCATGAAAAAATGCTCAATGAAACTGAAACAAACTCAGCATATCAATTTGATCTAATGTAAGTGTTAGCTTAGTTTTGTTTTTTTTTTCCAACCACAGAGTCATTTCTTTGTTTCAGAATAAAGACTTAGGGTTTTGACCCTGGTTGTGTTAGGACGAACATATTTCTTGTCCAGCGGTCTCATTCAGTGGAAAAAGTTCCACTTCCACAAAAGTGGCTTTCGTACCTAAGATAGCACATACTGTAGGATGAGAGTCCTGTCTGTCCAGATGATGTCTTTTCACTAGTTACATCTTATTTTCCCGTTTATTTTCTTGAATCTCTGTATTTGAGTTTCAGTCTGATGATAGACACTCTGAAAAGGGAAAATGGCAGCAGAAATGAGTAGGTCTACCATCTGTGGAATTTGGGTTTTCCCTTGCAGTTTAAAGTTTTTAAACTTTGCAATTTTCCACAAGCTTGAAAAATAAGATGCTTGCAATTTAAGCACTGTCAGTTTTGTTACCAATAAAGTAACTTTAAGTGCGCATGTCCACGTGTTCGTGCTTACTTAGTAAACATAAATGCTGATTTTGGTTCATGTTGAATTCTCAAGCTAGTAGCCAGCCAGTGATTGAGCAGTGGGCAGAACCCTTCTCCTCTGGAACCCTTGGTTGCTGCTTGGGTGTGTCTGCAGGTCAGGAAGGGAAAGCACCACTATCATGTGTGCTCACATGACTTTACAGGTGTGTCATTTCTGCCTAAACTGGTTAGGAGCAGTTGTGCCTTCATGATGTGACATTGGTCATACATAATCTGTGTCAGTTCTCAGGACCTCAACTGTGAAACATAGTTAGGTTGGAGTGGAATTAAAAGAATGAATATGTGCAAAAGAAGTTAGCTGAGAAGAGATCCCTCCATTTTCCCTGGTCATGGTCCTTTAATGTCTCAGTGAGTTTTTGAGGGTAACTCTAAGCTGAAAGGAATACCTAATAATTCCATTTATTAAGCAGTTAGAACCCATGTTTTATCAAGTGTTCATATCCTAACAGTTGGAGCAGGGGTTTTGTACTAGGAAAATTCTGTGCTGACTGACGGTGTCTTCATGCAAATGGCATGATTTAATGTGAGTGTAGAGTTGCGTGTAGATTGCTGGGCTTGGCCTCCCACCAGCTCTGTGCTGACAGACAAGGAGGACTGGAGACTGCCAGTCCTTAAGCATCAACCTTGCCTGTTTCTATGCCTGTATTTCTTCCGAGCCTCATCTGGCCCTTTCTCCTTCTGTGTCCCCCTTTTTCTTCTCTCTCTCTTCCTCCTCTCAGTCATATCTTGTCTGTATCTGCTCTCACATGAATTGTCCGTCTCTTCACAGTATTGTGGTTTTTAAATTAGAGTGGTGACCTTGGAGTCATTGATGGCTTTTTTCCTCTTTGATCTGACACTCATTCTGTTAGCAAGTATCATCTTATTCATCTGTGAAATCTGTCTAGAATCCAACCACCCCTCCCTACCTTTGCTGCTGCTTCCCTGTATTGCAGCCCCCTCCCTCTGTCCCTGGGACCAATGCTGCAATGTCCTCCCAGCTGGCCTCACTGTTTCCACCTAGCCTTTCATTAAAGGGGAAATCACAGCATGCCAATAGCCCCCTCCAGTAGCTCACTGTTTTCTCACAATGACCTTCACAGGGCAGGGGTGCTTCTCAGTGGTAACCATAGGCCCTGAGTTCCATCACCAGTACCACAGAAAGCAAAACTAAAACAAGAAAAGAGAATAACTTTCAAACACCCTCTGAGATAGCCAGCACCTCCCACTCTCTATCCCTGGCTCCTGGTTGTGCCTGGAGCCTCTGCACTCACTCTGGCCTTCTTGCTATGACTCCTTGCCTCACTCTTCTCTTGACTTTCTGGGACATGATGGTTCCATGTCTGCCTCTGGCACCTGCTCAAATGTCTCTGAACCCCAGGCCTGTTCTTACTACCTCCCATGCCCCACTTTTGTTTGTGATCTTGTTTGCTTCATCCATTCTTTTTGGCTTAGCACCCCCTGACATAAGTATTTGTTTTGTCTTTGCTTATTGTCTCTTTCCATGCCCAGTCCGGGCTGGAATGTAAGGTTCATGA